AGCCTGATAATCATCTATTCATTCATGTCAGGTGTGTTGGAGCAGAGAAACAAGTAGAGCATGCGGGGCTGCGGCCCTCCAGGACCAGGATGGCCCACACCTGGTCCAGACCCTCACTGAGCCTCACACAGGTCCGGTTCTAAAGACCTCACCTGGAACTTTTGTCTCGTTTCAGCAAGAGCGCGACGAGCAGAACCAACAAGCCATCGCTGCGTACTTGAAGAACGCCCGCAAGGACCACCAGCGCATCCTGGCCCGCCGGCAGACCATCGAGGAGCGCAAGGAGCGCCTGGAGAGCCTGAACATCCAGCGGGAGAAGGAGGAGCTGGAGCAGCGCGAAGCCGAGTTGCAGAAGGTCCGCAAGGCCGAGGAGGAGCGCCTGCGGCAGGAGGCCAAGGAGCGGGAGAAGGAGCGTATCATGCAGGAGCACGAGCAGATCAAGAAGAAGACGGTGCGCGAGCGGCTGGAGCAGATCAAGAAGACCGAGCTCGGCGCCAAGGCCTTCAAAGACATCGACATCGAGGTAACGTAGCCAAGTGGAACTTCCTGTCCAGGTKAATCACGCTGAAGCTAACGGGTCGGTCTCCTTCAGGACCTGGAGGAGCTGGATCCAGACTACATCATGGCCAAACAAGTGGAACAACTGGAGAAGGAGAAGAAAGAACTGCAGGAGCGTCTGAAGAACCAGGAGAAGAAGGTCTGATCCAGAGTTCCTGCAGATCCTTAAAAAGTCTTAAAAGTCCTTGATTTCATTGATTTAAAAATAAGGCCTTAATTAGCCTTAAAATGTCTTAAATCCATCTTTCAGAAGTCTTGAAAATGTGAACACATTGTGCGTCTCAAACATTAAAATAATTGGTAACATTTATTTCAGGGATGTGCGATAACTTATTTTAAGAACTGATAACTTTCTCCTAACGACCGATAATAATCGATAACCAATAACACGCCAGGAGATAAGACTAGTCAAAAATAGGTAAGATCATAACATAAATAAACAAAACCAAATAAAAGTTACTGTAAATTATACTATTTGAAATAAACTCTTAAAAACCAAACATTTCTTAAAGTATATCAAACTAAACAGTTTCTCAAATGGCCATTTTTTTTAAATAAAGCACGTTAAAATAAAAAAAGACCTTTAACTCTGATCTGATTTAAACAGAAGAGAAATTCATTCTACAAGTTCAAAACAGATAATTCACTAACACAAGTAAACCGTGGCTAACGGCGGTGAACCGTGGCTAACGGCGGTGAACCGTGGCTAACGGCGGTGAACCGTGGCTAACGGTGATAAACCGTGACTAACGGAGGTGAACCGTGGCTAACGGCGGTGAACCGTGGCTAACGGCGGTGAACCGTGGCTAACGGTGATAAACCGTGACTAACGGAGGTGAACCGTGGCTAACGGGAGGTGAAGCGTGGCTAACGGGTGGTGAACCGTGGCTAACGGGTGGTGAACCGTGGCTAACGGGTGGTGAAC